TTAAATAAACACATTCATAATATTTATTGTTTTACATTTGTTTCACTTAAAACATAATTCATTTTAATCAACTTTAAAACTTATTACATTAACTTTTATACTAATATTAATTTTAATATTAATATCAATTAGAAATTATTATATAATTATGATATAATTATATAATTATGTTAAATAAATGTCAAAATAAGTAAAATGCTTCATTTTTTAAAAACATTTCATGATTTAAATTAAATAAAATGTTGAATATATATATATAATCTGCATCTCTTAATCAATTAATAAAAATTTGATGTTTAAATTATACACGACAGCACATTTAATAATAAAATTAATTTATTTAAAAAGTAATACTTGGTAATAATAAAAATTAATATTATGAAATAGAACAATATAGTTGTATTGACAAAGAATACGAGAAAAGAAAAATTAGAATAATCAATTAGAATAATCAGTCTTTAATAGAACTCATCTTATTTCACTTATACTATACAAGATGTTGAGAAATTTAATCGACGCTCGTGGATAAGCGGACTAAACTGAGTCGAAAAGTCCTCTACTAATTTACAATTTTCTCAAAAGTTAACAAGATATTATTTCAAATATCGCTAAATATTTTCAATAATTTTTTATTTAAATACTATCAACTTTACAGAAAAATAGCGAGAGACAAAAATTATTTATTTTCTTCTCATAGAGCTCTGAGCTTCTTTTCAGAATTTTTTCAGAATTTTTTAACCGTATTTTCTCATGTTGTTAAAAAATAGTTGCCAATAAGGAAATACAGTACTAAAAAGTTGGTAAAAAATTTTGAAAAAATTCTTTGAGTTCTGAGAAGAAAATAAACAATTTTTGTCTGTTGCAGTTTTTTTGTAAAATTGATAGTATTTGAGAAAAAAATGATTGAAGATCAATATTCGGCAATTTTTAGTAATTAATTATATCTTAACTATTGCGAAAATTGCAAAATGATAGAGAACTTTTCGATTCAGTTTAGTCCGCTCTACTTACTCAACGATCGTTGTTGGTTGAATTTCCGAACATCCTGTATATGTGATATTCTATATGCTATTTTTTAGCATATATAACACAAATACATGAATAATCTATAAACTATTAGAGATACTATGTTTTACGACCCGATGTTGGCGTTGTGTCCGCATCTTCGAAGATAAACATCGAGATCAATAGATGCTGCACGTGGCGGATAATGATGAAATTGTTCGAAGCAGTCAGTTTAAAGACCGGAAGCGGAATCCAGTAAATTGTTGTCTACTATTGGACTTATTGCCACCGTCACTGAGTTGTCGTAATAACCGCTCGATAATAGTCGTACCACTGTTACATCGTACGCTACGAGCTCCTTTATATCTAAAATATCAAAATTAGCTTTTATAATTATAGATAAAAATTTCACTTGTACATAGTATTCATAGTATAAGCATGGTGTTATACATATACAAAGTACAAAAAGGACCATATAAATGTATAAAAATAACATTATTTTATTCCAGCACTTTCAATCATCACTCGCTGATTCTATGTATGAAAGATTCATTACCGGGTTTGGAATCAATGCCGCAAATTGAATCAATTACGTCGAGTTTTATCGTATCGAAACCGCGGCTGCCTCCGATCTGCACTTGATCTCGCGGACTCCTTGTATCGCACTGAAAATTAATCGATCGCAAATAAAAATAAATATAATGTATATCGGGAAAAATATAGCTACTGTAAAAAAGCAAATAAAATTTTTTATATGTACAAACGAGTTTTACTTTTCATGGAAACAGTTCGTCTTTTATATATTATATAATACATTTACCGATAAAAAAACGAGCCATTAAATTTTAGTACAAATTTTTAATATTTTCAAATAATATAGCAATAATTCAATGAAAAATCATCGTATCGAGATGAATCATCATAGCTCAATTTAAAGCTTGAACATTTTCCTCGATGATCATGGAGATCAAATTTGAGTTATATAAAATATAATATAAAATGGCGAACGTTGAAAGTGGATATCGTAAACTAGTTAAAAAAAATTTTTTCTTTAAACTGTTGCACTGTACAGGGAAATCAGCTGCATGACACAAAGGTATATGAGTCTTTAAGCTCGTTAATTTTCAAACAAATCCATATTTTAAACATTTTTCTACAACTTTTTTTAACAAAGTTATACCGTTTTAAAGAAAGTCTTACAGAATGGACAACTTTTTCTTGTAAACTCAGTATAATTTAAAAATAAATTATTATAAAAAAACTTTATCACTTTAATTTCCTTTCTGATAAAGTTTCCTGCACAGCGCAATAGAAGGTTTAAAGAAAAAATTTTTTTTAATTATTTTTTTATGTCCGCCTTCAACATCTGCCATTTTATATTACATTTTATATAACTCAAATTTGATCTCCATAATCATCAAGGGGAATTCAAGCTTTAATTTGCGCTGTGATTCATTTCGACAATTTTTTCATTGAATTATGGCTATTTGAAAATATAAAAAATTTATGCTAAAATTTAGTGGCCCGATTTTTCGCCGATGAGTGTATATTTCCAGTTAAAAAATTCTTTTGTAAACACAAATTTTTAAAATAAAAATTAGTCATTCTAAATAGAAAGCAGATAAGAATTGCTAATTTAAGCACAATTAAAGGACAATTATCATTAAATTTAATTTTTAAACTTGATATAATATAAATAAATGAAAAAGTGTTATGTCAGCAACAAAAATTTGTTTTGATGGTGTCGGAGATGAAACATTGAAGGCGAATAAGATAATAAGTACGAACCGCGTCTGGAGAAAAAGACTTTACATTTTACAACATACTTTGTGCAAAGTGCCAGTTTCGGTTGTATGAACGACGCCATGGGAACTACCGCCGATTCCGAGAGCAATTATTTGTACGACACCAGGGTACACTGCCACGAGAGTACAATTAATCCGTCTGCCATAATTACGAAGAGTGAATGGATCCGTTGTGCTTACTGACAAGATGTTGCAAGCTGAAAAGAAAAGAATACAAGAGTCTAAAACACGTTAACTATATATTGGGTTGTCGGGAAAGTTCGTGCCGATGTTGAAGGAAAATTGAAACGCAGAAAATTTAAATTTAGTATACATTTATTAAGTTATATAGGTTAGTCGGCACGAACTTTCCGGACAACCCAATATTGTTAAATCGCTTTAGAATCAGCTAGAAATGGTTTTTATATTTGTTATTTAACCGACAAACATATAATAATACTCGATCATGTATTAATTTTTAAATATCTGCTTACGGAAACAAACTTTATTCTATTCATGAAAAAATATAATTCATTAAATATTCATGCAATATTTTCTATTTTATTGTTTATTTTCTCTATCTTTGTTCAAAAAAAAAGTATGACACATTCCGATTTTTAGAATTACTCTTTAGCATTGCAGATCTAACATGTTCTAATTTACGAATGTCTGGTCCATTCTGTTCCTCGTTCTTGTCATTTTCATTGCTGAAGTAAAGTATTAACTTAATTATTAGGTTCATAAAAAAATATAATTCATCAAATTGTACAATATTTTCCTGTGCAAGACTTATAATAGCGTTCCACTAAAAATCGATCGTTCTTCTCTGTCGAAGATCTTATTATCGTGTCGGATATCGATATTGAAATTAATCGAAATTGGAACTCGTAGTACGTTCTCTAAAAGAAAAAAAAAAAATTAAATTCAATTGAACTTAATGTCCAGCACATTGAATATTCAAGCTTGAAATAGAGTGAAGCTTATCATCTCTGAAAATGAAATCGAAGCGTAAATCAAATGTTAAGAGCGAGAAAGTAACAGAAGCGCAAGCAAATAATTTAACTTTTAAGAGGCATAAATTGAAACAATAGCCAGTGTTCATAGCCCATTTTTATTTTAAAATCGTTTTAAGTAAAATGCTAATACGATTCTTGAATGACTTAAAATATCTTAAAATCTCATCTTGTATTTAAGATGACAATCTTAATGTAAGAACAACTACAAACACCGGCCATTGAAAATGTAAAAGGAATGTTTATATTCATTGTCTCAATTTTCACCTCTTATAGAACTCTTTATTAACGTACTTCTGTCACTTCTCCCCTTTTTACATTCAAATTATGCTCCAATCTTTATTTTCGCCTTTTTTCCTGTGTAGGAATCTAATAGAAGTGTAAGATTAAAATATTAGAAACAAATAGCATCGATTTTCCGACTATTTCGAATTTTTACGTTCATTATTTCAAATTCCAATGATATATTCGTTACTCGTAGAAAAATATTAAGACGTAAGCAGTAAGGAACATATATTGAATTGGCTATTGCTTACGCTATGAACTTGCGGTCTCTACTGATTAGTCAATTCGCTTACTATTTATGTTTTATTGCTTAAATTTTTTTATGTACCATAACCCTTATAATAGTATATATAATTTGAATAAAATATTTAAACAAATATAAAAGCGATATTTTGTATAATGAAATCATTATTTAATTCTATTATATATATTAATCATTTTATGAAGATATTTCAATCTTTCTTTTTTTCTATATTCTTTTAAAAATATAATAAAACTATCCAGCTAACGTTATAAATATTCATAGAAAGTTCGATTCATATTACCAATATACCGAATGTTCCGGAACAGTAAAAGAATCGTCATAGAATTGTCGATAAAATCAGAATATTGAATGAATATTCCTTGTATATTTCATGAAAATTTCGAGCGAGCGAGCAGTATTGCACATCTCCGCCACAGAGAACTGCGGCAAAGGGCATTTATTCAAACAAGAATATACCTAGGAAAGAATAGGAGTGCAACACTTTGTTTTTTTGATATCTCGCAGATATAACAAAGCCCTTCCCACATAGATGTACTCTATATTGAAGGAGTGCAGCGTTCTGCGAACTCGTAAAAGTTTCCCTGTAAAGTGAGCCCCAAAATTGAGCTCCAAGATGAAAAAACATTAAATGTGTTTTCCGAAGTCAAATTTTGTTTAAAAAATGATTCACAGATAATCTGATCTGGAATTTTTGGAAAAATTAAAATTTTACGGAATGTGTATGAAACATTCTCGTAATATGTAACAACGTACAAATAAAATTTATAACTGACGTTTCTTTTACAAACCGTAAATATTTGGAATATTTTGGAATTCTTAGAACGTTTTTTTGGAGGATATTTTTATGAATATTTCAAGAATATTTATTAGCATTTCTTGGGTATAAATTATATCTTTTCATAGAGATTTATATTTCTACAATAATATTTATACAAAAATGTAATTTTAAAAAAGTTAAGTTTCTTTTAGAAAATTCATAACCAAGTAATATAATACTTACGTCTTGGATTTTTTTGATATCTCGCAGATATAACAAAGCCTTTCCCACGTAGAGGTACTCTATATTGAAGGAGTGCAGCGTTCTGCGAACTCGTAAAAGTTTTCCTATACCACTTATTCTTACCACAGAACTCGTTCGTCCTTTCCTTCATTGATAATGAATGGTCGCTTTCGCTCGGAAATACTTCGCCATTCAATTCCCAACCATCGATTACCTTCCAAATAATAATCAATTAATACTGTTTACTATGTTAATACTGTGTTACGTATGTATATTATAAAATAATATAATGAAATAAAACTACAATTATTAAATTATTCTATCTCCCTTATCTATGTATAGAGATGTAAAAATACCATCAAATTCAATTTTACAATTACTTACGGTAAAATTGTAATAAAATGATAATTTATTGATAATTTTGGCTATATTTATTATCTTTATAATGTTATGTTTTGTATAAATAGGCTATTTCCCTACTTATGTATAAAATAAAACAACATTCTTCTAATATTCCTAATAGGAATGGCTGATTGAATAACAGAGCTATTGACGAAATCTAAACATATAATTTAATTGTAACAAAATGTGTCTATATGACATAGACTCACGCTTAAGTGCGTTGCTACTTGTCGCACTAGGTTGCCATTTGATGCTGTTGATCGCGATAGCATAAACGGATATATATCAATTGTCCACATCATTAATTAAAAATAATATAATCTTATTGATGAAGCAGTGAAAAATTACTAGGAACAGGCCGATGTGAGTGGTGCAATTGAACTGTACAAGTGCGCCACTCCCATCGTAAATAAATCATCTCTGATGTCATCCCTACCTTAAACGTTATCGGTTGTTGATTGTCTAATTATTACATCAATATATATTATAGTATCAACATGAAAATTTTAGTTAACAAAGCGTTTTTAACTTCCTCGAAAATAAAAATCGGAGTGTAAATCGGATGGGAGAGTAATAAAAACGTAAACGAAACTTCTAGAAGGCGAAAATATTATTGAAAATGTGAAAAAAGCATAAATGCTTCTTTTACATTTCATTGTTCCAATTTTCGCCTTCTAGAAGTTTCGTTCACGCTTCTGTTTTTCTTCCATTACATCCGATTTACGCTTCAAATTTTATTTTCATAAGGGTTAATTACTAAATGCTCTTATCAAATTACTTTATTTTCTTAATTTTTTAAAATTACTATTTTAACCAACCTTAAAATATTTATTATTATTAATTTACCGTAATTTACCGGGTAAGTTATTATCAAATTTGATCATTTTCATCTCTACCTGTGTGTGTGTGTGTGTGTGTGTGTGTGTGTGTGTAAATATATATATGTAAATATTTTATAAAAATATATAAACTTTTTATATATAGATTAAAATCGCAAAACGTAAAAGTTGAATATTATGCTATAATTATAATTATTAATATCGCGAGGTAGAAAAAAGTGCATACGTAAGTATAGTTTTAGTTCATACAAAAATCTTATGTAGTTACGTATATATGTAGACGTATTATAATTATAAATTTTATGTATTGCACACAAAAATAATTTTTAAGCGACATGCTATTAGATGTCGTATGGTACACCAATAAGAAATAGCAAAATTATTGAAAAAGAAAATCGTCAAAGATATATTCATCATAATTAAGAATTCGAATTATGATTATATTTGTTTTGGAAAATTACATTTTGCAAAGTCACGATGAGTAAAATTCGCTTTTTATGTTGTATGTAAAGCAATCTCTTTTCGCAGTATTGACTTTTGTGCATTCGTAGCACTCATGACATACACACCGTTATTATAAGATTATCTGGGTTAATTTACTCTACAGGAGTTTTCCATTAATAGCAAAAGAGGGAATAAATGAGAGTTGAGAGGGGAAGAGAAATTTTGTGTAATTTTGTGTAATTCGATTTTTGTCCTGATAAAATTAGCACGTGCCTTATGACAATTCGTTTATGATATTATTGACGTTGTTTTTTAAAATGATTTTCAGCACCGGATGCACCGGATATCCGGCTATCCGGTATTATTCGATATTTTTTTACTATCCAATTGGATAGCCGGATATTAGTATCCGGGAATATATACGGGAATATATACAGTTGAAATTTGATATCATTAAACTGTTGATTATATATAAATGTTCTAGAAATAAATATGCCTATTCATAATGCTATAATACATTGTTGCAAAATTCCAATTTTTTTCTCTGTATAATATTTTTTTTTTAAGGAATCATTTCCCCGGAATCCGGTCAGATATTCGGAAAATATCAGATATCCGGTTTGAAGAAACTGCCTTCTCGGATATCCGATTCGAAAAAATTGCCTTCTCGGATATCCGACCAGATGTTACATTCTGTTCAGATATTCAATATCCGTTATCCGGTAATTTTATGATCCGGTGCATCCCTAATTTTCAGGATTTCACCTATTGTTACCGTTGACGAGCATAAGCGAATCTGAAATTTCGCTATGCGATAGAAACAGTTTATATATTATGTATAAATATTCATATTAATATACGTAATATCCCGTTAAATGTAAACAGTAATATTACGTCACACAATATTATAATTTCCTAATAAACAATATGAATGTAATATAACACATTTATTGTACTAAATGATTACATACTGCCAGAAGTCCTCGATGATCGCAAGGAACATCAAAGCTATGGAAATGTATTTCTACTACGCGATCGGGATCAGTTAAAAAATATATTCCACAAACATTGTCGTCATCGGTTGGCGATATATAAGAGAACGGTCCGCTTTCTGAGGTAACAAACATACAGTCTGGAACAGAATACTAGCAATTAAATTCTAATTATTGAATGTTATCCTGCGAATGTTTTTTATGTAAATGTATATAAAATATTTCAAAAATAATATATTCTAAATTAAAACTTATATCGGAAAATTGTATATACGAACAGCACGAAGGTCTTGTAATCATTATCATCTTGATCTGATTAGTGTATACATTAAATTGTATTAATGTTACTCTTACTTTTAATACACGTATTTTGTAAATTACTGTAAAATAATATCTCGTAAAATAAAACGAGATCTTTAAATTTTTTAACAGTCTCGTCGATCTTTAAACTTTTTAACAACTCGCACTCTGTCTTAGCGTCGAGACACTATCTATATCTCCAGATTATACAAGGTGTCCGATGAGACTTCTGCCAAACGCTTTTTGTAGATAGAGCGAATTAATCTGAGTCAAAAAGGACTTCTACCATTTTGTAATTTTCGCAATAGTTAATGAGATATGAATGGTAATATTCTAGATTAAGGAACCCTCTAAAACCTGTTGAAGGTCATTTAGAATTATGTCCTTGATATATGCCAAGATCAAGGTCATTGGCAGGTCCCTCCCCTAATCTGAATTTTTACCCTAAAAAGTACTAAAAAAAATATTAAAAATGACGACGTTTTGCAAGACAGACTATGAAATCATCCATTAAGCAGCCATTTTTAACAAAAATCAGTTCATGATTGGCTGCTAAGTCAATGCGTGATTGCAATGATCATTCAGAACACAACACGTCACGCTTCTCTTATAAATCTAGGACTTTACTCCGTGTAACAACTTGCCCCGGTCTCCTCTACCTATGCTTTAAATTTGATCTTTCTTTAATACTTTTATTGCTTAGCATAAAACAAGCTGTTTTAATATTACTTAAAATATTATCTATCTGCTTTTTTATATATGTTACAACATAATTTTGTAATCACATATATACATATATATACATTGTTCTTTTACCTGTAATTGGCCGATAATGCTCACGTGGTATCTCCAATGAAGACTTCGCTTCCGCTTCGTAAGCCAAGATATTGGCAACTGCTTCATTTGTTATCTGAAAAAAGAAGTATACTACATTACGCAAAGACAAATTATTCAAATTAGTTGGTTTAACAAATATTTTTGTTTAAAATTCCATGTAAATGACAGTCAACAAAAAATGTTGAAAAAATTCCATGAATATTGAAGAATGGATTATTTGTTCAGGTTAAAAATTTTAGTGCAAAATTTATTGGTATGTATATAAAAGATAAATTGGCGACATTTATCAAGTACCGTTTCTGCGTTAAACGACTATGGACATATTTATAACTTATAACGTGTGCTCATATGATATATATATATATATAGAAAGAGCAAATGAAAGCGTGCTATGACGCGAATAAAACAATATGAATAGTTACAGAAGAAAATGACGATCGAGTTTTTAATTAATAACATGTCGATATTAAATTGTCAATAGTAATAGATACATTTTATCGTTTCCTCTACAATACAACAATATTGCAGCAATATTTCAATAGTGCGCAATATTATAAAAATTGCAGCAATGTTGTTCAATATAATATTGAATTATATTTTATTGGAAATACTGCAACAATATTTTATTGGAAATATTGCAAAATATTGTAATTTTAATATTTTGTAGAAAATATTGCAATATATTGCAATATATTGTTGCAATTCAGTAAATAAATTAGGAATATAAGGAGTACGTAAATCGAGTTGTAGAGAGCCTTCTGGAAATTTTCAACTTTTTTTGATATATATTTTTTGAGATATATTTGGATTCCCAGGATATTCTTCGAATGTTATCCTTGTTTCAGTGTAAATAACGAGGATGGAATGATACCTGGATGACACTCAGGTGAAAATCGGAACATAGCCTTGGATATGCCTTCTCGATTCCCGAATATTTTGTGATCATAACTTTATCGTATGTATTTCTGAATATGATGCTAAACAATAATATGTTGGCAATTAATAGAATTAGAATAATTATTAAAATATTGCATAATGTTACAATAATATTTTATTTTTGCGGATATAGGAATATTGCTATATTGCAGCAATGTTTCAAATATTACAATTTTTCAAAATAATATTGCTGCAATATTTCATGCTGTAAGGACTGTTAACCTGTCATTTGTTTCTGTCAAGAATGAAGGATTTATTGTGTAATGAGAAAACTTGCTCTTTGATTTTCAATATACAGCAATCAGTCTCGCGTAATATAATATAACATCATAGTTGAGTTTACCCAAATCCAATTTAATATATGCTTTGCTTCTTCTTTGCATTAAACATTCGAACAAGTTTATATGCTTTTATATAATTTTACTATACGATTGATCATATTGTTTTTCTTGCTGAGATCTTTAAATTTTAAATCAATAAATATATACAATTGAATGATTACTTTGATCGCAATAATAAATTTAAATTTAATTCAAATATTGTTATTAGTTATCTTTATCAACAAATGCACAAAGTGCGACATGATACGCATTATATGCTTCGAAGTGCAAAATAAATTTCTATTCAATTAAATGCATGTAAATAATACTTGAAAAAGCAAAATAGAAATCAATTTAAGAATTTTAAGCACGATTGTATATGTGAATAAATAAAGAACGTCAAGATCGATTAAATTTTGGATATTACAATACATTATATATTCTTTTATTAAATCAATTTATTCCAGATATAATTGCGAGCCGAGTGGCTAAGACACTCTTTCCGAAAAGTTGAGAAATTCCAAGTGCGAATCCTGATTGAGGTAATATTTTTCGCAATAAAACTTTCTTACTTTCTTTCTTTCTTTCTAATTTAATTTAGGGGAAATTATTAGCGTTTCAGAATGATTGTGTTGAAACCGAATGTTATCGGCTTGCAATTATATCTAGAATAAATTGATTTAATAAAAAAATATATTAATTGTAACATCCAAAATTTGATTGATATTGGCGTTCTTTATTGAATAAGAATTCAATTTGTTTTGTTCACAAAGGATCTTGTTTTAATGTAACATATGTAATGTAATGTTTAATGTAATGTAATGTAATATATTGAGAATAATGCTATCTCGTTTTTATTAATTAATTGGCATTCACACGTGTTTGTTTCGATGAATGTCGTAGAATTACACTGATCCTCATGTTATAAAGTATAAAAAATAATTGTAAAGAATTGAACCTATTTTATATGATTGTATAATAATTGTATAATAATTTAACCAAATATAAAATTTGGTTAAAAAGAAATACACACACACACACACACACACACACACACACACACACACACACACACACACACACACACACACACAC